TCCTGCAAGTAAAATTTTTTCGCTTAAGTGGTCCTCTGACATGGCATCTACATGGCAATGACATGTCAGCTGTGTCAGTACCATGTCAGCAACGGCGGCCAGCGTGGCGAGTCCGGCACCGGAGGACCATTTTAGCGAAATATTTTTACTTACGGGACTATTTTCAAACACAGTTCACTTAAAGTCCTAAAATAATAAAAGATGTTAGATACGGAACTAAAAAAATAATTTATAACCCTTATTTTTATTAATCTCCGTGTTGGATCCAAATAAGCTCATTTTAATGGATGAAGGGAGTATAATATTATAAAAAATACTTTATTTATTATGTAAAAATAAATTTATTTGATTTGGACACACATTTTAATATAATGTGTACATTTTATATTTTATATTAAAAACATAAAAATAATAAAATGTAAGTATAATTTTTTGCTAAAAAATGAGTCTAACAAATAAAAAAAATTATTTTTAATGACAAAAGGAAAATTAGAAGTGATAATATGTGGAATAGATGTTGATTAAAAGGGCGGGTGTCATTATCTAGGATGTCAAATAGAGCGAGTTACTCCTGCCGCTCTTAATGCGGCGGATTCGTATCTATATATTTTGGGATGGGTTGTGGAGTTTAAGTTTAAACTCGGTCGGATTTGGGGGACGCTTACGAATTTTAATAAAAAATCGTTTCACCTTGGATCCAGATCCGAACTTGCTTATTTTAATAATTATTAATATATATAATATAAATTAGATTACATATTTATTTTAAAATTTTAAATATGAAATAGAATCATAATTCCTAAATCAAATTTATTTTTTTGTTTGTTTTTTTTTTTCAATTCTCTTTACAATCAGGACCACTTCGGTCGTCTCGCTTGCCGCCGATCGCTATCACTGCGGGCTACAACCAACATTTGATTGTTTTTGTTTTTTAGACTATTTATTTTATTTTTGTGTTTTAACACTTACATTTTTAGTATTAAATTATTAAAATAAATTATATTTTATATTTTTATATATAAAGAAAAAAACAAATTTATCGGGTCGACCCCAAATCCGAAGGGTTCAAGGCAGAACGGGTCTAGGGAACGGGTAGAAGCAGGGCTGGTTGGGTTTTAAGGCATAATGTTTTCTAACGGAGCGGGTCTTGGGCCTGGAAAACCCATCCTGAACTCGTCCCCTTGATATCCCTACCCTTACCTCTCATTATTTTTTTACAATCTATTTATTTTTAAAATTATATATTGTAAAAAATAATTAAAATTTTGGTATACTAAGGCTTTGATTGTGTTGTGTTTTGGTCTAATGAGAATTTTTCTTTTGTACGTGGAATATAAGAAATTATGTATATAATATAAAAATAATAAGTGTGTATAATAATATTTTGGAAAATATATTTATTATTTTTTACAAAAAGAACACATCGTAAATATTTTGGTATACTAGAATTTTTATTAATTTATTTATTACCAAAAATACTGAAATTCCGGTATGTATCTTTAGCCACCAAACCTAAAATTAATACTATTTGAATTATGCATTCTAAAAAAAAAGCAGATATATACTATTTCACAAAATATTTTATCATACGTTATTATAATAATAAAAAGTATCACTCTTTTGAGGATTTTTCTTCTGTCATCGTGGATGCCGCAATTGTTATTTGCCATGTCTTCTTTTTATAGGCTAGACTGTTTTATTGCAGCACACATGGAATAACTTGAAAAGCATCATCTTTCACGTGTCTTCAATCCACTATGGACTTTCATTGGCTCAATTTGGAGGCCTGAGAGCGCGTACAACAGCTTTTTACAATTTCTCCATTGAGTGAGTTACGTGTCAAGGCTACTAAAGACGTGGTATGTCCGGTATGCAATACTGGATGGACGGAGGTGAGAGAAAACCCACAGTAGCCTTTTTCGATACATCGCACAAGTTTATTTTTCAATAAAATAAAATAAAAATTTATTTCACTCCTACCTTTCTTCTCACCAAAAATTCGCTCGCAGATTCCTAGGGTTCCAACTCGTCACGTCGGAGACGGCGCCCCAGGTTCGCATGCAAGTGATTCCTCCATTTTGTTGTGATATTTCCATTTTCTGGACATAATCCTCACACCAAATACTTAGAAAAATTAGTTCATCACTCTGGCCAACCATTTCTTGTTCTTCCTTTGGTGTCTGTTCGTAATAACAATTTCGTGGAAAGATTTCAGGGCATATATTCGCACACGTACCTTAGTTTGAAGTAATTCCGGTTTTTTCATAAAATAGATTCTTCACGAGTTAGAACACCACATTCATTCGAGATTGGGAAGTTTCGGAGCTCGATTGTTTATGTTTTTATTGTTAGTTGATATATTTCAGTGTATATAGGTGCACATATAATTTAACTAATCTCTTCTTCTTCTTAGAGTAGTTTCGCTTCAGCACGGGTACTATGCAAACTGTAAGAATATGTTGTCCACATTTCTGCTTGAACATATTCTTACCTTTTTCCTTCGACTGTGTTGGTTATTACCAATGCATGTTAATAGAAAAATTCTGTGAAATTCGATGTTTTACAAATTATTTTGTTTGGATACAACAGACGGATAAACATCTACTACAAAAATGAGACCCCGGTGTGTGTGTGGAAGGGAAGCTTCTGTAAATCGTTCGAGAAGTGAAAAAAACCCGGGCAGATGGTACTACCGTTGTCATCCGTGTGTCAATTGGCTAGGATGGGAGGATGTTGACAAAGAACATCAGGACTGTGAGTTTGATCATAAGAGGGAAACGTCCTTTCATTCTGGGAGTCTAGTGCCACATCGAGGCGTGGTGGGAGGCCTAATGATTGTTGTTTCTACCCGTCTGGGCCGGAGAAATGGCAGACATCAACTTTCAGGAGGCGTGAATACCTTTTGATCGAGAATATTGTAATTTCTGCAGTGATCCTTGTTTGTGTGTTCTTATTTTGACTGCAACGTCTATCTACTCTAATGGTGTGGCATTGGTTTGTTGGCACAACCATTAAGCCAATGTTGTTTGTATTGTACGGAAAGTGTTTGCGACTATTTAGTTACTATTGATGTACACTCGTAATGTTTGCTATGAATGTACTTGTTGGTTTAATGTCTAACGTTGTTACCACTATTGTAGTTATCTTCAAAGTTGTAGTGTAAATGGTTGCTCGGAGTAGTTCCCAATTATTATTGTTGTCCAGGGGGTGAGCGAAGGGATAAAACAAAGAGCAAACAAGAGGATCGTTGCAAACTTACAGAGGGTAAGATTGGATTTTACAGTTACGCGCTCGGCTCAAAGCGTCGTTATATAGTGATTTTTTTTTTGCGTACTATAAGTTGGTTGACGTGGTTTTTATAGATGGTAGGAAAGCATGCTTACGACGATGATCAGACAGGGAACACATTCTCCATGCTATCAATGTTTTGAAAGATGTTTTCACCCCCACTCAACATCCATTGGTAATTAATTAGATCCTCTTGTCGTATTTGTGCTTGTGTTACGGAGTCTGCCCATTCATACTCGGTATAGCATGCCGACTTCCTTCACAAACTGTGAACTGTACACAGCGCTTTGGTCCTCGTCGTTAGCTGGCACCCACTCTGGCAGGTTCTGCCCACGCTCGTCTTCTACCACCATATTATGCAGGATGATACACATTGTCATAACCAGAATAAGATCTTTCGGTTGTTCTAGTCTCGCCGGCATGCGCAGTATTCTCCACTTTTGTTGGAGTACGTTGAATGTCCTCTCAATGTCCTTCCGACAGGTCTCTTGTAGTGTTGTAAATATCCACTCTTTTGCTCTAATAGGATTCCTAACGACTTGCATGAAGATAGCATGTTTGGGATAAATCCCATCTGTCAAGTAGTAGGGAAGGTTGTATACTGAACCATTAACCTCGTAGTCAACTGACGGTGCTGTCCCGTTCATGTATTTGTCGAACAATGGCGAGTGGTCCAAAACAGTGACGTCGTTGTTGGTTTCGGGCATCCCAAAAAATGCATGCCATATCCAAAGATCCTGCGATGCAGCAGCCTCCAAAATTAATGTAGGGTAGCTGTAACGTCCATTATATTGACCTCGCCAGGCAATCGGGCATGCATCCCACCTCCAATGCATACAATCAAGTGAGTCTATCATTTTGGGAAACCCAAGAGCTTTATTTTCAGACAGAAGGCGGGATATATCCTCAGGCGTTGGATCACGTAAATATTGTTCTTTGTAAACTCGAACGATTGTTTCACAAAAATCCATTATTGCCCGTTGAACTGAGCTAACCTCCAATCTTTATGATTTCGTCTACACTAGAAAAAACGGCCATCACTTTTTGGAGCGGGGAATGTCTCAGGCGTTTCGTACAATCGGGTCTTTGCGTGAAATAGCGATTGTTACTACACACATCTTATAATATCCGAGTGAAAAGCTCACACCGCATCCGAAACCTCCGCCGAAAAAATAATGCAGGAAAACGAGGAGTCTCGGATAGATAGTCCGCCCACAACTCTTCATGTCTCCCCTCTCAATCGCGGTAAATATAGGTCCTTCGCATTGGTGCAGTAGCATCGATCACATTTGTAAGCAAAGGTAATGCAGCATGCAAACGTTCGAGTTGTTCTCGCTCAAGTAGCTGCAATCGCATCCATCTCCATCGTCTTGCGTCAGCTCTTTGGCGTTTCGCTGTCCAGAATGATGGCACCTCATTTTCATGTTCAGATTCTTCTTCTCCGCTATCCATCCGTTTGAGCTATAAAACTGAAAGTCTATAAGGCTGTGGCTCTGAGTTCAACACTAATAATGGTTGAGGTGCTGGATTTGTATATAGAGAGAGATGAAGGGGTCAACTCATTTATTTCCTTTCTTCTGCCCCTCTGTGTATTTGGTGGTTTTTGCGTGTAATGGAAATTCCTGGAACAAGACAATTTATTTATTATTTAGGCAGGTATGAAACATTGAATTGTCCACTCAAGTCGACACATCACTTAATTGGTACAACAACATGCCCTGTACCCACGTAAAATGAACAATAATAAACAAAGAAAGTAATGATCAATAACACTGCAAACCAACATGAAAAGTACATTCAGCTGCCTGGATATTCAACCGAAACACGCCAAACTTCTTACGGAACTAGGATACAATAAAACACACTAGGGTTCTTTGTGTGTGCCGTAGTGGAAGATTAAACAAATATCCTAAAAATACACTAGGAAAAAATAGAGTTACACGTCACCACACTCGTTGGCCCAAGAGACAATTCCATGTCGAAACTTACAGTACCGGTCGATCAACGGCACTCTGACTAGAAGTTACTTTTATCAGGGGTTTCACGCCTACCACGCTTTTTCCCTCCACTTGGAGAAACACTCGATTCATCTACGTCTTGTTGTTGGCCCTCATGCCTCTTGATGGTCGCGATGACCGCCTTGACGCCTGAACGACAGCTGACTGGTTTTCACTAAATTTTCATTATGTTAAATTAACATGAAACAATGGAACCAATGTTGATGAATACCATTGTGTGCATCCGTGTAGTACTCAAGTTGTTCTCGTCTGATGGCGTACTCTTTCCGTGACAATTTGGTTGCCAGCTTCGCCGGATCCAACTCTTCAAACTTATGGAAGGCAACAATCATTTCCTTACCGATTTTTGCCAAATCCCTGGTCAGTTACACAATTTCTCGGGCCATCTTTGCCGAGTGCTGAACTCTATTAGTCCCTATGTTAATGAATCGAGCGTTAATTGAGTTCCTGCGATGTAGTGATAATGAATTATGGTTTATTTCATGAAATGACAGTGCCTAATTACCTACTTGCTCGATTGTTCTTCTATCAACTTTTCGCGCCTTGTTTCGTTGTCCTCCATCTTAGACCACCTTTCTGCTTGCGACGAATCGAGTGCCATGAGACTAGGAGTGATATTGCGCGTTGCTGACGCTTGAGACTCTTCATGCTGTCTGATTTTACATTGACGTTTGGTTATTAACTTTGCCGTTGGCCTTCGCCTTCTTAGCCCCCAGTGGCCGCTCCATGACACGCGCAGCCGGACCAGTCAACACAGTATGTCTAGACCCCTTATCCGAGCCTTCAATGTCAACGTGTACACCATCATCAGAGATTTCAACTTGTATTATGGGTGACTGCTCGTGAGATTCCCTTTGTGTGGAGCGTCGCTCACAACCTATTTCGGTCTCCCCTATAGTTTTTGGCTCGCTCGGCCGCGTCTTCCTCCCGGAGACAGACTCCATCCACTTCGGTTCATTCTTTAAAATATGCGAAAAAGCTGCGCATTTGAAAGTCATCCCATGCTTCTCATAATATATCTCATCGCAGTATTGTTCCTGACAAAGTAAATATTTACCGAAGTTACGAGAGGCTGTCAACTAAAATTCAATGCACATTACATAGCTTTATGTCAACTTACAAAATCGGTGGAACTTCAACCACTCCGATATTGCCCTTTTGTGTGCACCCGTACTCCACACTATTTCGAGCATTGTGATTTGATCTCCTTCATTTGATTCTCACAAGCACCCGGGGATCTTTTATTTTCAGTTGTCGGTACCCCGTGATTCTCTTCCATCAACAAGGCAAAACTCTCACAAACACGCTCTCATAGTTTCTGTCTCTTCTGGCCTACACCTACCCAGACATCTCTTGTAGTATTACACTACGCCGTAGCCAGTTCCACGTCCTCCTCTGTGGTCCAGTTCTTGTTTACGCATTGATTACTTCTCGTTGCTCAACTTGCACTATTGCGATGACTAGGTGTTTCTGTTGACAAAAGTCGTCGGCTTGTAGTGGAGGGATCAGTCTTCAGCTGCGAGGACTGGGTCTCTAGGTGAGGAAGCGACGACGTGCCTCCCGAACCCGGGAAATTCCACATGTTCGGGTAGAACAGAGGTTCACTCCGCTGTGGCATGTACTGCACCTGGGGAAAAGGCTGACTGAAACTCATAGTATAATGGCTAGGGAATGTTGTTTGTTGTGTCGCCATGATTCTTGGCCCATGGACATGCTGGAATGGATTGTGAGATTCGGACTGAACCCTGTTCCATGTCTCAGTCAGCTCTCCAAGGCCTTCGACTCTATTGCCATCAACCGTACAATCATCTCCATCATGGGACATTATTGAACACACTGCAAGAAGTCGTCCGTGTTCACTGCAAAATGGAGGATAATAGTTACTCTAGGGCCATGCATCTTTAACATGATGTTATGGGATGCATAGATTCCAACCAGGTGAATATATTGAAGCCCACGGAAGACCCTAGCTCCGTCAATTACATATAGTCATATACAAATGCTAATGGTTCTACATGTGTGTAGCTACAACAAAATCAAATGCATTCTCGTGCAAACCACAACGTATATGAAACCCAACCATTCAAATACAAATACTTATTTAATAACATATACGTCAATAATGTATTGTAGTTGCAAGTCCGCTATAAAGCAGCCGAGATCTTTGCAATGCTATCTAACAGTGTACAATACAACCACAAATTTGTGTTGACCGGAATTTACTCTGATGTTTTTACAAAATTGAGTCTTTTAAACAAAAACTTCGGCCACTTTGAATGTGAAAATAAAGTGACGACAAACTTTCAGAGTTAAAACATGTACTATACGTTACTAAAATACAACCAGAAATCCGAACTTCATTTCTAACAAAATTGAAACTGCAAGATTGCAATATTGGATGTAATGGAACTTGGATGTGGGAAAGATACAACAGTAATTCACCTTTTTTTTTTTACTATAAATGTGGTAATTATGAATCTTTTTCTTGTCTACATTTTAGATGATATAATTGAGCCCCCCCAATACATTAGATAACAGAGGAATTGGCTAAATTCATTGTATGACAAAACATTAGCTAATTTTAAACCTAGAACACTAAACAAAAAAAAACTCACTGAATAAACTTCTGCAACCCTAAAAGCATCTTCTTGATTCGCCACTCGTACTCCATAAATGGATAATCAAAATGCTCACAAAAAAACCCTAATGCATCTATTAACAGATCGGCGCCACTCCCACGCCAAAATACAAATTACTTCCCAATTTTTTCACTTTTCAATGAAATCGGTTGTACCACATCAATAAATTATTATTGGAACTCTTAAATTGCAACTTCTAAGATAAATTGGTTACCTGTATTCAGCCTTCTTCCGCAATAACTCTTCGATGGTGGGGATTTGATGATGAACCGCTTCTGACTGCTAGTCTAGGTTATTTCTTGGACAGTGCAAAAAAAGGTAATTTCTACATTTACGGGAATCAGATGAGAGGAATAAAAGAGGAAAGAAAGAGACAATATATAAATTGGATTTTACAGAGAGAAGAAAAGGGAAAAACAAGAGAAAAAGAATGAAAGGTCACTCTTCTTCCTCCTCGACGTGGCTTCACCTGCACCATATCTCCGTCGATGCGAGATCGGGAATTTAATGTCGAGAACACGGCCATTGCGGTTGATAAAATGGACTCTCTGACAGGCCCAAATCGAGAAAGCCCATTGACCAAGTCTAGAATTGAGCCGTTGTACGCATTCTGACCGTGCTTCCAACCCACTATCACGTGACATGTCATTAATTAATGAGGCCCAACGTTATAGTCAATGACCAAATCACGTGCTTTAAGACGTCTTGTTTGTCCAAATATTACAAATTCTCTCTCTTTTGAGTACATTGCCGCTAACTTCCTGTGCGCTTTGTGTAAACATCAGGTTGAAACTAATAGCCTGCAAACTAGATCTAACAAACAAATAACACTAGGTGAACCATGTGTGACAGACAAAATCTATCTTTTTTTTTTTTTTGGTTTAAGTTTTGGATTTGAATTGTGATTCGTAAAATTTTGTATTTGAATAATTTTAATATGATAGAAATAAATAAATAAATAAATAAATTTATATCATATAACGCTTTAAATACAAAATTAATTTTTGAAATAATATTAAAAATATATTTAATTTAATATTTTTATTTAAAAAAATTAATTTAATAGCAAAACAAATCCCTAAAAATTCCTATACAAACATAACTTTAAAGGTTGGAAAAATTTATAGATATCATCGAAAAAACAAGATATCAAAGCAACTATAAAAACTAGGCAAGAGAAAATAACAATAAAATTTAAAGAAAAGTAAAGAAAACTATTTTCTTGAATTGTTTGCATCAGTTTTCTCTCTTTAAATATATGGTAGTGGATGCACCCAGAGTGGACTACTTACGTACCCGAACGGGATCAAGCCATACGTAGTTCTATATACAAGCCATACAGTCTCAGTAAAGCAAACACACAAGACAAGCTAGTAGTCTAAGTATCAAGGCCTAAAGCAATATGCCTAAGGCATCGAAATCAAATACTAAGCTATCAAGTCTAAATATCATCTATCAAGGCTAAGTCAAGAATCAAGGAATAGGGTAAAGCCTGCTACCTGAAGCGGAAGGTCGGGAGACCGTCAGCATCGGCTTAAAGGAGGTCTCTAATCGACGAAGGAATATCTGAAGGGAGAAGTGTCCGCTCAATCGGGAGAGAAACCGCCAAAGTCACTAAGGCATCTGCGATGCGGTTCCCCTCTCTATATATATGCGATATCCTCCAAGTCGCATCCCTAAGCCGCAACCAAATATACATAAGGCATCGATGGAGAGTCCAGTGGCTCGTCTTGGTGGAGATCAGAGAGATGCATGCCATCGAGTCTGTCTAGATCCATAACGGCATCAATCCTCAGTCAATCGTTATCCCTACTTAGTCTGAATCGCTGTCAGCTCTGCCAAAGTGTTCGTCGCCTGCGGAATCAGAGTCTGAAATGTAATGAGTACTACCCCGGCTGAATCTCGGATAATACCAGCCGCTCCTGCTGCTCCAAAATTGCCAAGAAAAGCACCATCGGTGTTAACCTTAAACCATCCTGGAGACGGTGCCTCCCATCGCACCATAATCGGAGGCCGAGGAATCGAAGGGGGGTATCAAATCCAAGACCATCTGCTATATGAAAGTCACCCGCCCAATGTCGACGTAAGAGAATCCTAGCTCGCCAAAGAGTCTGCAAGTGTGAATGAATCCCTAGATGATCTTCTTTGAAGATAAACGAAGCCCCATGTGCTTCGCATCGTTCCGAGCAATCCAGATGAACCATAGTATCAACAACGGAACATATGCCCTGATACTCTGAAAGTGTGCCAAAGAAAGCCTCCACGAAGACACAAGTAGATGCAATGTATGTGTCTCTGGCAAATATAGCCTGAAAAGCACCGCCAAAGTGCTCCCATACTCCTTAGGCAACCTCCGAACCAATAAAGAGATGCGAGATAGTCTTCATCTCCATACAACAACAATGACATCGCGAAACAATCAAAACACCATAATGCTGAAGGATCTCATCTGTCGGTATCCGTCGCCGAAATAATCTCCATAAAAAGACTGACATCGTCGAAGTAAGGAGGCACGACCATAATATCCCTGAAAGCCAACTCCGTACCCCCATATCACGGCAAAGCTCCCAAGCAGAAGATGTCGTAAATGTGCTAGATGGCGCAGCCATCCAACTCATCCGGTCCTCAGACTGTCTATCGATAGGAACCTCCATAACACGCTAAACTAGTGACTCTGTAGGATATGCTCGTAGTCGCCCAAAGTCCCATGCGTCACCACTCCACATGTCCCGGACTAATATCGGTGGGGGTAGTCTACCCTCCCGAAATGCCGAAAGGGGCTGCTCCTTGAATCATCTATCCTCCCAAAAATAACACTCCCCTCGGCCTAATGTCCAATAGATCTGTGCCTGAACCTCCTTCCTAACACGGCACAAGTGCTTCCACACCAGGCTATCGTATATCCGACAAGGAGCACTACCCGGGAAGGAATCGTGAAAGTACTTGTGCCGCATCGCCTGCGCCCACAAGGAAGAACCCTCACGAAGCTTCCACCAAAGCTTCATGGAAAAAGCATGAACCATATCCGATAGGCATCTTAAAGTCCCAAACCCCCCCTCTTGCGGCCGTGCCGCATCCGCCCAAGAAATCCAATGACGCTGGCGATGACCATGGTATGAGCCCCAAAAAAACCGCGCACAAATCTGCTCAACCTCAAGAAGTATCGACTGTGGCAGATGTAACACCTTAAGTAAATACAGTGGAAGAGACAAAAGTGTACTCCGAATAAGCTGTAATCGGACGCCATGTGACAATACAGCCCAATCCCGGCGGCTCAAGTATCTCCAAAGCTTCCCTAGAAGCTCCTCGTATAGAATACTCCTCTGGTTCCCAACATAAAGGGGCGCACCAAGATAAGTAAGTGGAAGATCAACAACTCTAAATCCCGTAACCGTCTGAAGCTGCTCTCAAACTCCCTCCGGGCATCTTCGACTAAAAACAATCGTACTCTTCTGACAATTGACCTTTTGGCCAGTGATCCGCGCATAATCAGCCAAGAAGGTCATCAAAGAGCTCATCCGCTCCCCACATGCACTCGCAAATTTCAAGACCATCAGTTTTGTCTTTCAATCTAATCTTGTGGTATGATTAGTTGTTCAATATCCTAATTGGGTTGGTCTCATCTTCTTGAGTTAATTTGAACTTGATCTTATGGGTATACATTATTAAGAAAATTGAAAAAATCAATATTATTGCTAATCCATTTCGATCAAAATAATACTATATGTTTCGGGTGGTTAAACTAAGTATTTTTACTAGTATTTTTTTTTTTTATGTTATTTACAAAAAGAATAGCAAGTATATATATATATATGTTAAAAAGTGAAACTCCAGGCAAATACTAGGACACACAATCAAAAAACTTTATGGTTGAATGTATAGTACTCCTCGGGTTCTAACTTGAATTTCACAATAAAACAATTATCCACTTGAAGACCAAGCTCTCTCTATTTTTTCTTTCAGTTTTTAACTAGTGATTGCAAGGCCATCAAGCCTTCTTCTTCACACATCGAAGTCAATTGAACTGTGAACACAACCTTAATTTATGCAATGCTACCACATTAGTGAACATATCCGCTGTTTTTTTGCGATCATTGAGTCTCCCCCAATGTTAGGATCCTCTTATCCAATAGCTCACGAATGTAATGAAATATCAGCTCAATATTTACATGAAATACAAGATTCTTTGCTAATTAGATTGCACTCTGACTATCGCCATAGAAATTGCTATTTTTTGTTTTTTGGATTTTTTCCCAACTCAAGTATAAAGTTTTGCAACCAAATCATTTCCTTGCTAGCATCCGTTACTACAATGTATTCAGCTTCTGTCGGCGATAAAACAACTACCTTTTGCAGTTTCGATGTCTATGATATTGTTGTTCCTCCATAAGTTGACATCCACAAATCTAGCTAATCAGGGTTTCCTTCTCTCGAAAATTAATGTCTTATCTGCAGTGCTTTCGAGATACTTCAATGTCCAATTCTCTCATTTCAATATTTCCTTCTAAGATTACTCATAAATTAGTTCACTACTTTCACTACACGTGGAATACCAGGTCTTGTATCAATCATGGCGTACATTAGGCTTCCTATAACAGACGCATACAGAACACTCTTTATTTTAGCACATTCAAACTCATTATTTGGTGAGTTCTTGTTTGACAACTTGAAGTGATTCTTTAAAATGTGCACACGGATATTGCATCTTACATACGGTGCAGGATAGACGGTCTTAGGTCAAAACTTGGTATCGAAATGCCTACGCACACATGGATATATATATATATATATGTTATATACATGTGTGTCCCCTCCCCACACAAATATATACATATATGTACGTTGTATATACATGTATGTGGGCACTCCGGTACGGATCAAAACCCGGGTTGACGATCTCCTTCCCATACATTCACATACGTGGATATACAAAAGCGGATGCAATAAGAATTAACTAGTGACACGTGCAACCAATCAATTAATTATTCCATTAAAAGAAAATTTTGTATTTTAATAATTGAGCTACCATTAAAAAAAAATATAGTGCTCTCACTTAAAAACTTCAAATATTATGTATGTTTATTTGTGGGATTTTGACTTTGATTTCACTATTTTTTTTTAAAAAAAAAAAATTTAAAATATCAAATTAAACATTCAATTTTCATTTATCAGGATTACATTAAAATTCAGGGTATGTTTCTTTCGCAAAGTTTTCTCAAACTTTTTTTTTTCTTTAGCTAAGTTTCCTCAAATTTTACTATTTAAACTCTGAGTTTTCCAAAAAAATATATTTTTTCGTCTCACAAAATATCTCATCAAACATTGTTTTTATACCAAACTCAAACAATTTTTTTTTTCAAACTCATAAAAAAAATACACCCTTAATTTTACATTCAAACATCACATTGATATATATATTTATATCACAATAAATAATAATTTTAATGAATTAAAAATATATATTTTTTACTCCCTCGGTCAACTCAAAACATTCTCATTTTTTTTAGTCTGTCCACTTAAATCTTCTAATTTTTTTATAAGGTTACATCAAATGTAAATACAAAATATATCTACTTTATCAACATATAATTACTTTTACACAAAAAATAAATATAAAATTGTCTTCACATATTTCATTTTTAATATATTTTAATAAAATACTAATATATCTAAATTTACGTACCAAAAATAATAAAAAGATTATTAGTGAATGAAAAGAATATTTAAAATTTAAAATGGCATAAGTACCTAATTAATTAAAATAAAATTTATTAAAATAATTAATTAATATCTTAAAAATATAAAAAAATATACAAAATAAAATTAGAAAAATACTTATATGCTATAAACTTATAAAAATTAGATTTTTGCAATGGGATGAGTGATGAATCTTTAAATGGTGGTTCATTGATTGTGTTATAGACTTGTTTCTCGAGCATAGAGAACAATGTAAACAATAAATTATTCATTTGTTTTTTAATAAAATTCAATTTTTTAATTCAATTTTTTTAAAGGAAATATTTATTGAATATAAAAAATAAAAGTAAATAATAGAGTTGAAAAAAATGAATTAAGTAGAGAATGATCAATTAAAAATAAATGATTAAATTGGATAAAAAAATTTAATAAGTGAGAATTATGAAGAAATATTTTTGGTGATATGTTTTATTTAAATAAAAATTAAATAGGATGTTTTGTAAGATCAAATTTAGTGCAATTTTTTTAAAAAAATACAAAAAAAATAAATATTTGAATAATAAATTAAATATTATGTTTTATAAAATTAATATAATATAATTTAAAAAATATAAAAATTAAATAATACAAAAAATAAAAATAAATATACTGTATCAATATACAATTCTCTCTATATTTCTATATTTTTCTGTATATGATAAAAAAATAAAAAAATACTTTATTTCTCAACTTTCAGTTATTTTGACTCAATACAAAAAATCATTTTTATTTTTATTACTTATTTTTTTATACTAAACTTTTTTTAAAAAAAATACATAATTTTTCAAAAATATTAATATATTATATATATTTATATTGTTATGCAAATTTCTATACCTCAAAAAAAAATAAAAATAAAAATAAAAATAAAAATTTGAACTTCAAATCCTCTCACAAAAGATACACATGCTGAGCTCTGCCCTGCATGAGACCAACAATGTCAGCCAGCTGCCTTTGTTTCATATTTAATGACAAAATGTCTCTCTCTCTCTTACAGATTATAGTATATTTCTTTTTATAAAGTGACATTTTTGTAGGGTCCTTTGCCCACACTTCGTCCAGACCAGACCAGACCTTCTTCACTTTCTCTTCTGCTGCAAATACCATTTTTTGTTTGTTTTTCCCACTAGGATCGACTTGAAATCAGGAGATATCTATCTATACAGCTTCTGCTTCTTCAATATATACATACATATGTATTGTATAGATTCCAATTGCTCGTTGCAATGTAAAAAGCGCTGGCGTAAGGCCTCTGGTGAGAACCCACTCTGATTCTTCTTTACTATTCGATTGGGATGAATCAATGTTTATTCATTTGTTTATGTTAATTTGCTGTCTCTGTCCAGATTCATTGCCTTCTCCCTCTCTCTATCTGTTCTGTATTTATGTGCTTCACTTAGGGTTTGCCATTTTCTGTTACTACTGCAGCTTGGCATCCATGGATGATTGTGTTGGGCATTTAATTTGACTGTGATTTTGTAGTAAAATTTCTGGGCGCTTTATTGCATAACGAATTCCCTTGCTTCTTCTGCAAAATGCTATTCATTTACCCCACTAGTTATTTCTTTTCGATAAATACATTGCAAGGAATATCTGTAGCAATTCTGGTTGTTGAGAGTTTCTCTGAATCAGTAATTTGATGTTAAGGTATTCGATTCTGTAGCAAACAAGATTTTGATTCGACTCAGATGGATATACACTTAAATTTTTCAAAAACTTCCTTTGCAGGGAAAAAGACCATTTCAGTTCATGCTTGATTTTAACACACTTGTTAATGGCGATGATTAGTTTCCTTAACTTGTTTGTGCAATTTTGAATGCAATTACCAAAAGTAAGTATCTCATAATATGATATTTATTTTGAATGTAAAATTAAGTTTCGAGTATATCTTGATATTTTTTTCATCTATTAGGCTGCTTCCATATTGCTCCCTAAATCGAACATTTACAACAACAAGCATGGAGAGCAGGAACATCGAAGATAGTCAGGTTTGTAAGAATCGGAGAATCGATCGAGAAGGCAGTACGCTGGCATTGTCTGTGTCGACCAGCAATGAGCAGCCGGGAAGTTCGACAATGACCAGTTTAAACACAGGTAGTGATTCCAACAGCAACACATTGTCTGCTTATTCATGGTTCTCTGTTAGGAAGTCGACTTTGAGAAACTACAGATATTCTAACACCGGGGACGAAGCAAATTTCCATGTGAAAACTTCTAGAATCTTCCAGGAGGCGAAATATTTGTCGGGGACTCATCACACAGGCAGTCCTCCGAGCAATGCTGTAATTGATAGACATGTCGGGAAAAATTCTTCTAGTTTTAGCAGCTTCTTCCTCGGACAAGCTTCCCCTGCAAAGCCTGAACTGAATCAGCTTCATTCAGACAGCAGCATTGTTGAAAGACCTGAATCAAATCATTTTGGGATTACATTGAGACAATGGCTAGCGGTGAAACGATCTGCTGCAAGTAAGATGGATAAGTTGCGCCTGTTTAAGCAGATTGTGCATACGGTGGATAGTTTACACTGTGGAGGATATGCCTTGCTGGAACTACAGCCGTCAGCGTTTGTCTTGTCCGAAAGTGGGGATGTTAAATACATTGGATTATTACAGGATACTGAATCATCGAAACCTTGCAAGAGAAGGCGAGGTTTGGACCTTTCTGCCAGCGAAGACACAGCAGAAAATTCTTGGCTGGAAAAGAAATGGTATGCTTGTCCGGAAGGGATGGATGCCTCAGACCTACTTTCATCTAATATATACTCTTTGGGACTACTGTTGTTCGAGGTGAGAGAATTTTGGCTGTTAACTGAGTCGAATTAAGCCGGCCTTTTAAAATTTTTTGAACTTGATGCAAGTTTATCTCGAGTGGAATTTTGACATTATTAGTTCGGCTTGAGTCTTGAAATTTTTTAACATGCATAGTAAACGATGCTTGTGAATTTATCTTAAGTTCTGATTGATATTTATAACTCACAGTTTCTTTGCCATTTCGAATCGATGGAAGCTTGTTCTGCAGCGATGAAAGATTTGCAATGTCGAATCCTCCCTCCGAGTTTTCTTTCCGAGTGTCCTAAGGAAGCGGGGTTTTGCTTTTGGTTGCTTCATCCGGACCCTTCTTCTCGTCCCACGGCCAGGTAGAGTGTTCTATTTATAGAAGATTATTACAGTATTATCCTTCTTAATACCCACACGCGCACACACTCACACATTCCATGGGATTGAACCCCAACCTTACAGCATGCCAAGGTGTGCTCAACCGTTTGAGCTACAACTCTCGGCTTATTACGATATTATCTTGAAGACGAAGAGTTTGTAAGTAACAAATTACGGAATAGTTGGAGTTCCAATCAACACATGAAAATAAAATAAACATAATATGATAAAAAAAAAAAAAAAAAAAAACACGAATAGATTGTTAGTCTGTGCTGTCTGTTTTATTTTATGTGTGATGTGTTAATATACACTCTGTGTTGAGATCAATTGTAGAATGTGTTTGTGGGGACTATTGTTGTGTGCTATCAATTTATGTATTGTAGTTATATTATAGTGACATATACTTTGTAATTTATACTTCATGTCGTGTGTTGTATACATTTTTATGTGTTGTCAATATTGTGCTTACACAAATTAATATAATTGAATGTTCTTACACAATCTTTTTGTGAAAGTAGTTCATTAACATCTGTTCAATTGAGTATTGAGAAAGGGCCCTCTTTGTAATAACAGAGAAATCCTGCAATCTGAGATGCTGGATGGATTCAAGGTTTCGTGTCCGAGTGATGACGGGGCGTCGGTTATTGACACCGAGTCGGATCTCTTGCTTCACTTTTTGGTTTCACTAAAGGAACACATGCAGAATAAGGTTTCAACATTGTCCAAAAGTATCGAATTCTTGGACGAAGACATTAAAGAGGTCGAGCAAAAGTACGCTTGTAAGAAATTTACAGATATGAAGAGTAAACATCTTGATCAGAACAGGCGACGGCTCCAGGAGAAATTATTTGAAAACATAAGCCAGCTTGAAAAAGCTTACTTTTGTCTGAAGTCTCCCATCCAGATTCAACAAACACCGGATGTGGATCGATCGGACAAGGATGTCCTAACAAGCCGTGACACATGGCCTTTGGTCGAAACTTTAAACAGTACAGACGAGAGATCCTTCAACCGTGTAGGAGCCTTATTTGACGGCATTTGCAAATATGCTCGGTACATCAAATTTGAGGTTTGTGGAACGTTGAGGAACACAGACATTCTTAACTCGAACAATGTCATCTGCTCGTTGAGCTTCGATCGTGAAGAAGAGTACATAGCGACTGCTGGAGTTTCCAAGAAAATCAAAATTTTCGAGCTCGCCTCACTTCTGAATGATTATGTCGATGTTCAGTATCCCGTGCTTGAAATGTCTAACAAATCCAAGTTCAGCTGCATTTGCTGGAATGGCTACATAAAAAACTATCTGGCTTCGGTTGACTACGATGGTCTTGTCCAGGTATGTTTATTTATGATAGAAATGCATAATATTTCGGATTTAATTCCTTCAACACATCCCATTACATGTTCGTGTTTTTCTTTGCAATGGCCAATTTCGAAACAATACATCAATATTTAAGGGTGGTTTGTTTTGTGTTAGAGATGCTTTTCTTTTTACTGTTTTTTCAATGAAATAGTTGTTGAATGCGATGTACTAAATAGAAAACAAATATATTTTTATTTAGAACGATTGAAACAAGCTCAAAAAGAACAAATAGCTCGTCGGCTACATGTATATATAGGGTAATTAAAGTATATAAATATATATATACACACGCGTTGTGTTTATGAATTTTTGAAATTTTTTTTGTTAGTTATTGAGAACCGTGAAGCTATTTTTAAAATATTTGTTTTTATTGTTTTTTAAATATTTGTGAGAGATAATAATATATTTTTATTGAAAGAAGGCCTAAGTGATAATACCTATATGTTGATGTAAATACATGAAAAATCCATGTGTAAATTTTATTTAAGAACTCATGATACAGAAATGGGGATTTTACATCTTTTTTTGGTTATACATTAGTGAATTATGCAATAAAATTTATGCATGGTATGGTAGTTTATCCATTTAAGTTAAACTATAGGTGATGTAGATGTAATTTACCTGTATACATAAACATACTTGATGGCTTTTGTGTGGATCGATATAGATATGGGACACGAGCACCGGGCGTGTATTTGCCAACTACATGGAGCATCAAAGAAGAGCGTGGTCGGTTGATTTTTCTCTGTTTGACCCGACAAAGTTTGCTAGTGGTGGTGACGATTGTTCGGTTAGGATATGGAGCACCAACGAGGTATTATAAAATTACGATTTATATGAATCTTAGAAACATTTAAGGCTTCATTCAATTATATTTTTAGCCGGTGAAAGTAAATATATCAACTTTTTATCTCTTTTTATCTTCTCTTCTTGAGTAAAAAATGATCTTTTTTATTTTCTCTTCTTGAGCCGAACTTTATTTGTTGTTTTTGTCATAGTGATCAATTGTCCGAGCTTGGCCCAAGTTTTGTGAATTCATATTTTACCTATGTTATGTGTTAGCATGCATTTTTTGCTTAAATTAACAGTATTATGTATTATATTAGTTATTGTCATGCGTTATCAGTTCATATAGTATTTGTATTATATTAATATTAATCTCATATTGTTGATTTATACATAATGTGTTGATCATCTATATTTCACTAGTTGTTAGCACAGTGCTGAATAATACAATTCATTACCGTTGCTACCATCATATATATATATATCATATAGTTGGAAAATTTTTGGTTTTTGTAGAAAAACTCGATCGGGACAATTTGGAATCAGGCGAACATTTGTTGTGTCCAGTTCTCGGCTTTCTCATCCCATCTGCTAGCATTTGGTTCCGCTGACTATAGAATCTATTGTTATGATCTTCGACACACACGGTCACCGTGGTGCATTTTGGCTGGTCATGGGAAGGCTGTTAGCTATGTGAAGCATTTGGATCCTGAAACGGTTGTGTCCGCCTCTACGGACAACACGTTGAAGCTTTGGGACCTCAAGAAGACTTCCTTGGAGGGGTTGTCCTCGGACGCTTGCCAGTTGACCCTCACCGGACACACTAACGAAAGAGTAAGTTCGCGATTGTTTATTTTGTTTTTTTTTCTTAATTTTATTTTTGAGTATGTTTTAAATTAGCTCTTTGTGACATAAAAAGTGTGTCATTTTTTTTATTTTTTTGAAATTATGGTCAATCTTTTAATTCTTTGATGTACAAAATTTGCATTAATGTGGCTAACTGAAAACTTATGTAGTTTTGGTTGGACATGCATACTAAGAAATAATGATATTTAAATGTTAATGTGGCGTAGATACAAAGTAAAATTATAAAAAATTTATTAAAGCATTGATAAAAAATATAGTGGGGTAAGTACATTTGTTAAAGTAAGGATAAAAAAATTGTGAGTGGATAAAGTTGTTTACTGAAAATAGATTATGCATCAATAGTGACATAATTTTGACAGAAGAATTAAGTAATTATTTGGATTTTTCATATATTCTCCTAATTGATATTTTCTAATCCTTTATTCATTGCGCCAAATGTAGAACTTCGTTGGAATGTCTGTGTCGGACGGATATATAGTGTGTGGTTCGGAGACGAATGAGGTAAGTTTCTTTAATTCAACAAAATTTGAGAATGAAATTAATGATCATCCTATCTGGAAGTTTAAGCTGGACGATGCCATGCGCAATGTGAATGAAGTTGCCAATTAAATCGCCGTGGTGTTTTTTTTTTTTTTTTTTTCAGGTTTATGCGTATTACCGGTCATTGCCGATGCCAATCACTTCTCACAAATTTGAAGGGGCAGACCCGACGACGGGACACAAGCTTAGCGATGGCAACGGGCAATTTGTCTCAAGTGTATGCTGGAGAAAGAAATTTGGGATGATTGCTGCTGCTAACTCGACCGGAAGCATGAAGATACTTCGATTGGTATAGCGCAAAGTATCGAATCGATGAAATGAACTGATGCGGCGACAAAAATGGCGATGACGACGACGACTGATCGTAGCCGTTGCTTTTGTGGTGTATCTTGTATACCCTGCAAAAACTACTCTGTAATTGTTTTTAGTATAGTACAATTCAAACACAGCCCCTCTGAATCAAGTCACACATGCAAATTGAGATATATTGATATAGTTTGAAGGTTTGATAATTAGTTGTGAGGCAATAAGTTGTTTTTATTTTTCGAACGAATTAATTGGTACAATTTATTCCTTTAAGTAAGAAATATGAAAATATATTTTATGGCAGTAGTTACGGATTAGGTTGGTCAAAGTATATAGGATATACGGCGGCGGTTGTAACAATTATTTGAAAAAATTAATACTCCGCCAACATTATTTAACTCTTTAGATAATATAGTTCAATAGTTTAGATAATATCAATCAAGAGTCCAAATTGCATGCACTATATTAAAAACGTATTTTTTGGACTCTTGATCAATGTTTTATACTCTTACATTGATGTTGTTTGGGGAATTAACAACAGTATAAAGCATAGAACATCAGATATATTTTTATAAAGTACGAAATATATTTTTATAGAGCATTATATATACTTTTGTAGAGTACATCATATACTTTATAGAGCATCAAACATAACAAATAAAATAAAAATAATTACACAGCTTTTATTTTACAGAGCTTAGACTATCTGTATTAAAAATTGATACTATTTGAACATTCAATATGTGCTTTTTGAGGAAATTAGTATGGTTATAATTTCTCCAAATTGACATGGTAATGGAACCTATTAATACATGGTGTTGATACACGCGCAACACATTTTGTTTTAATTCTAATAATGTATTGTATATACTATTATCATGTGTCGATTAAAATCACTAAGCGCACTCTGCTTATTTTCATTTATTTTCATCCTTGTCAAATGTATACATTTTGTTATTTTCGACTCATGCAATTCACGATTTTATATAGATTATCAAATAAATAATATCCAACCGCAAGAAATAATAAACAAAATTATAAAAAACTAGATAAAAATAAGTTGAAGAAAAACCTTCTTTCTGCAAAATGACTCCACTCCGGTGGTGCCTTTTGACGTCAATATAACATTTTCAAAGGCAAAATTGCCACGACTCTGAATTAGGTAGCAATTCCAATATTTCAAAATTTTATCGTGTTAAAAATATAAGATTTAAATCTAAATTGAAATCAATTTTAAAGAAACTATTGAAAATAAAAATAGTAACTGATAACCATCAAACACATGAGTTTTGTGGCTCAGAGTACAGTCTACTCTTATCGACAAAGAGAGACCCATACACAGTAGTTCGACCAGCGCCGGCCAGCAATCAACTATTGGCAACCTAGTCTTCAACTCAAAATCGAAACGACTCGATTTAGAGAAAATTGAATCGTAGAAACCTTACAAAACAGTCGATAATCACATAGTAGTACAAACTTTCGATTCGACGGTAAAAATTATCGAAAAATACCTCACTGAAAAAGCAATGGATTGGACAGAAACAATGAAAGAGTGAGCGCTCTTTTAGCAAGAGAGGAATACACACTTCGGCACTTGGCACTTGTGTATAACGAGAATGGAAGCAAATATACATCAATGTGATGGATGGCTCATATCTACAACCTAAAATGGAATGTTAGAGATTTTATTTTGGGGGCGACGCGGATTGTAGACCGGTCGAATTGGGTTACGTCCACATCTAGAGACCGATGCGGGTGGGTCGGAACGAATATGGGCCCAATTTGGCCAAACTACATGTAGTATCTTTTTAAAAAAATCAATATTCAACATAAAATATTATTTTATACAATTTTATGTACCTCAGGTAAACAAATTTTCAAATATAAAACACTAAAATAAACAAACCCACGACTCTTTGCACACTTAAAATAATTTCACTCCACTTTCAAATTTCTTTTACATATTTCACAAAATTTCTAATCTTATCCAAAGCCAAACAGCATTAGATAATAAAATTCAACATTAGAACGGTCAAAAACGAATCGACAAAATAAACAATGACCAACAATTCCACAAATTTGAACAAGTCGAACTCTTAGTTAAGGAGGATAGAACAAGCCAAAATTCATTTTATGTTAAATGACCATCTTACGTAAAAGTATGAACGACTAAAAATATATACATACTATATAATCTTCTAACATATCAAATTAATGGGAAGAAAAGCCTAAAATGAAAACATACAGCCATATGTCCACCAAGCATCAAATCCTAAACCTGAAAATAGCCACAAATCTTCGAAAAAAAAAATGGAGCTGAAGAAAGCATTCCCACAACAAAACCAAACACAACAAAAACAGATTAATTTAGTTATATTTCACAGTTGTACGTCGCATACAGTCTCTCTCTGGTTATTTCATATGCGACGTTTCATCAAACCCATGAGCGCATTGGCTTTCAAGCTTTTTCTTGCACGGTCCAACCGGTCCCATTACATAAAACCGACATATCATATAGCATAATAATAATAATAATTAAGATAGGCATGGCATGTTTTTTTCACATAAAGCAATACTTCATGAATCACGACGACAGATAGACATACCCCATCAGGCTAGGCTAACCCATAGCGTACTTTTGAGTCCAGCTCCTCGCAGTCTGCTCGTACTTTCCCTTGTCCGTCTTGTACATGTGCGCAATCTCCGGCACCAATGGATCATCAGGGTTCGGGTCCGTCAGAAGGGAACAGATTGAGAGCAACACCTGAAGAAACAAAATGATTTACAATTCTGGCTCGGAAACAGCTAAAGCTATTTCAAATGCGTAATTTACATATCTTAAACTTGAAGAGTAAAATATTTCAATTGTTTCCATTTGTAGTGTATAAAAATAAAAAATAATAGGATAAAAACATCTGCATAAATAAATGGGCCAACCGTAGCAAACCGGATGTTGAACAAAATAAACGGATACGATTGCTTCAATTTTTGTAAGAATGCAAGCGAAACATACACTATTGAACCATATTTAGTGTCTGATTGGAATAAAAATGAAACTGCGGAACTAACCTTGGAAATTGTCAAGGCAGGGCTCCACTGCTCCTTCAAGATGTCGAGACAGATGCTACCATTGCTGTTAATGTTCGGGTGAAAAACTTTTGTCCTGAATGCAACCTGAAAAATTCATCCACACAAAAATGCATCAGCACATTTCTGATAATCTCAATAAACATAACGGTACACATTTGCCCCAAGTTTTACAGGAGGAATCCATTTAGAAGCAAGACAATAACGTAGACGCAAAATTGTCGTAAATTCAACAACTAGTGACAGGCCATCTTATTCGACCCACAGGCTTTATTAGTAAACGTGTTTCCAAAACTCTCTGAACATAGTTTTCATTCAAAATAAATCGGTTCATAGATCCATTTTAAGTTTTGCGCAAAACAATACGAATAAAGTTTATGCTTGATAAAGGACCATAAAGTAGAAAATAATAATTAATTTAAGTTCGGGCGTAATCCCATATATTTGATCAATACATTACTGTCAGTTGACAAACAAAGTTAAGAGCAAAGCTCAGATTCAAGTACCGAAAAAGATGCTAGATACGACCCAAGTCCCAACCATTCGAATGATCTTAAAAATGATCTTCCAGATTATATAAACAGTGATCATCGGCATTAAATTAAGTTATTAACTGCAGCCATCCAGATACCCAACACTTCTTGAGAATCAACACTGGTTTGATACTCTATTACATTAACTACTACAAAGATACACAGCACTTTTTTAAGAATCAAAATAGGTTTGATACTCTGACAGCAAATTCGCAAGAACACGTGTTCAAAAACAAACATTTATACACAGCACTTTTTTAAGAATCAAAATAGGTTTGATACTCTGACAGCAAATTCGCAAGAACACGTGTTCAAAAACAAACATACACAGCACTTCTTTAAGAATCAAAATAGGTTTGATACTCTGACAGCAAATTCGCAAGAACACGTGTTCAAAAACAAACATTTATACCCAGACCAACAGTCATTTTTTGCAACCAATGCCCATCGAGTGTAAAAATCAACTCAAACATGTCAAGTTCCGAAGAAGATTAAACTCAGCACTCACCTTCGGGGGTTTGAAAGGATAATCAGGAGGAAAATGAATTGTGACCAAAAACACTCCTCCCGCATAAGGGCTGTCTTGCGGACCCATGATCGTCGCTTGCCAGTGAAACATGTCCTCCCCAACAGGTCCTGCAACCACAGACGATCGAATGCCACAAATTAGAACTTTCTTCAACAAAAGCATCCACAAATAATCCTCAAGGAACAATGATCTAAGAACACGAAAATCCTCAGAGCCACAACAGCAATTTCTACCATGCCAATGTTTGCAAGAATAAACTGACAAGCAATGATGCCCTAAACACGATCCAAGCACTGAAAACACATCTATCTACGTCCAACCACAGATTCCAAACAAATAATGATACAGAAACGCAAAATTCGGGAAACGCGCGGAGAAACAAATCTATTTGAAAAATCAAATCGTCCCTCGAGGCAACAATCGAGATCCACACCAAACACATCCCCATCTCGGCAAAAATCAGGCAGAACACCATCTAAAAAACTTCCTGTTCCATCTTTAAATACACAAACACCAAAATTTCACAGATCAATCGCTAAAACACTAAAAGAAACCTAACGAAATTCAAAATCCAAATTTCAAAAAATAAATAAAAACTAAAATCGAAGCCTGAGACACCTGCGCTGCAGGAAGTGGGAGGATCCTTCTGCAAATCCTTCAGCTCCTTCAAGATCCGCTTGGAAGCCATCGCAGGTTGAAATCAAATCCGCCAAATACCTTCAAACCCAAAAAACAACAATCACACAAAAACCAATTTCAGATGCCCAGAAGAAATTGCTCCTCCTATACATAGATACCGATACACATACAAAAATATATAGATAGATACATGCGCGTGTAAGTAAATGCCTGTTTACCTGAAGAGAGAACGAGCGAGGAAGAAGAAGGAGAAGAAGACAACTTGGTCAGATTCATTTCCTATTTGTTTCCTCCGCTGCTTCCTCTTGACGCAACGGGGGAATTCGGGTTCTTTTCAAGACAGTCCATGGACTTCGGGTCCCATTGAATCTACACCGTTGATGTTTTGGGTAGTCACCCTCCTTGATGTGGATATATGATGGTACTGAAGTCCTGGATCTTATGGGAATATCAAGGGAGTGAATATACTGGCACTTGTCAGTTGTCAGTCATCTTTCCCTTTTCATTTTTTTCCTTTTCTTAATTTTTGAATATTATATTTGTATAATATTTTAATACACGGTTGTAAAATTATTTCTTAAAAAACAAATAAATAGGAAATTTTACTTAATGCGTTGGGATGTGTTTGTTTGTGTTCCGGGTGTATCTTTAAGGGTGTGTTTGTTGGGGTTTGGATTTTGAGTTGGAATTTGAATAGTAAAATATTTAAATTTGAATAGCTGTAATGATATAAATAGGTGTTGATACGATATTTTAAATGTAAAATTGATTTTTAGTATAGTATAAAAAATAAAAAATAGGTGTTTGATTTGATTTTTTTTTTTAAAAAAAAGAATGAATATTATATTTAAAATTCAATTCCCAAACAAACATACTACTAAAAATAGGATTTGAAAATTTTGTGGTTAAATTTGATATTAAAATAATATATAATAAAATTTTTGTGACAAAAAAAAAAAAAATCAAAGTCCAAATAATTAAAATTAAAATTTAAAATGTAAAAACACGCTATTCATGATTTTGAAATTTATTTGAATTTATTATTTTTATCCTTTTCATTTAAGTATATTATCTTCAAAAGTAATTAATATACAAATAATAAAATATCTTCCATTTTTACAAAAAAAAGTATTATTATTTCTTTTTTTTTTGTTTTTTTTTTTTGCAAAAGTAAAATTATCAAAATTATCTTACATATTTTTACTAATTAATTAAAACCTATTATTTTTTTATCCTCACAATTGGAGATAAATCTTTATAGTAATATAATTTTTCACATTAAAATTCAATTCCTATCATAAAATTCATTTATCTGATCTTTGTACTGCTCACATAATTCTATTTTTATCATTACATTAATCTCACTCACTTTCAAGCTATTCAATTAATTTTCGCACAAGAAAATAATGTCTCGCCTTGCATCTCGTAATTCCAACAACACAAACTGAGGTAAGAGATTGTTTTGGATGGGGTTGGAATTGTTGCAAGGAGAAGACGCTGTTGAAGTTTTTTTTTGTCTCTGGAAGACCACCACGCGCCTGTTCGGAGCTGACATCCGTCGTTGCTAGTCCGTCGGTTGATATCAGTCTAAAATCAACAACTTCATTGTCGATAATGAAAACAAAATTGAATCTATTCGTTTCTTTTTTATTTTTTTATGTTATTTCTTAATTCTTCTTTTGTGTATTTGTTTACCCTTTTGATATATCAATTTTTGTTTCACCCATAATTTCTTGCTAATGTAAGATTTTTCAAATTTGCTACATATAGAGTATAGATCACGAGTCCTTATTTAAGTTACTATACATAGAGGATTGAGTATCTGTATTGTAAAGATAGCGTGTGTGTATGATTATAACTATATATATATTTTTTACTGTTTGCTAAATCCTAGAAAAGTTCATATTCATTATTGTGAATATATTCCGTTTGAATTTAGTATCGTGTTCTTTATGATAGATATGATGGTAATTTATATGCAATATATATTTATTGTCTCGTTGGATCAATGAAGCACTTAAAGTTGCCAAGGAATATACACATTGTTATTCACTTGCTTGGTAATTTATATCCGAGAAAAAATTTCTTGCAACTTTTTGCGAGAAAATGTTGGCGAGGAAACAATTCTTCACAAATATATAACTTCATTTTTTTTCAAGGAAATTCATTCCCTCACAAATTTCACTTTTACAAGGGAATAAATGCCCTCGCAAAAATCATTTTCGTAATTCAAAATTTTCGAAGATATTCATTCATTCCAAAAAAATCATCACAAACCATTTTACAAATTTATCCATTAGTAATTAATTTCAAATTCCTACCCTTGACTCAAACAACTACAAACTAACAATATAGATTCATTTGAATTCCTATGTATGTTCCAAACAATTACAAACTAAAAAGATAGATTCATTTCGAATTTGTACACATGTCCCAAATAGTTACAAACTAACAATTTAAAGTCATTTCAATAACAATCGAAACAGTAAACACCGTGTAATAAAAAATAAACTGCATCTGTATTATACGATAATATAAAATAAACCAGTTATTCCATCAATCTATAGAATGTCAACAGTAAACAACGTATTAAGCTAATATACATCACGTGATCGGGAAAACACTAGCATCGCCACTCCGATCACGACAGTCTAAATGAGCTTGAATATTCTGCAACTGTTCCACAATTTTCATATTTTGTTCCCTCAGAATCCGGTGCTCCTATTTCATGTTCATTAATCGTTCCTTTTCTGTAAGCTCAACTACAAAGGTGCAACCGTCACTACTGAACGACGAATGTTTAGTAACCTTGTCGCTGTAAATTATTCTAACTTAAAAATACATTTTTTTTTCTTATCACAAGGGATTAAGCTCAAAAATGCTTTGACTCTGCTACAATCATTGTCTCCGAGTGGGGATATCACCTCTTCAATATGCTTCATACTATCTTGAAAATACAAATATACAATCATTATCGTGCCTATGATACCCTCAAGTTGGGTCAGTATTAGGCCAACTCTTGTGTATGGATGACCCATACTAGACCTTCTAAAATTGAATAGAGATTAAGATGATAGAATAGAATACTCATGTCAATAATATGCACAATTTTTTTCAAGAGCCCACATGAGAGAACTCTATAAGGTAATTTCAGGATATGTGACTTCGTAGGAAGTTTCTCATGGTGTGCGTGAGTGAAGACAAAGTGCGGTTGAAGAACTCGTGTTGACCTGTGGGGTCAATCTGATCCCGATACACCCGGTCAACGTGGCTTGTAGGCTGGGGTGTCATAGTTCTTTCTTGTGTGAGTCCATTTGTATGTTCCCCATTTCTCAAAATTCTACATTGCATATGAAACATCAAACCAAAAGAATATGTATTTATTAATTTATACAAGTAGAAATTAATGTTCACCAAGTTTTTTGCAATTTCAATGAAAAAAAATGATCCCCCGGTATGCATCGACTTTGGCTTATCTCCGAATTGCTCCGACGCCTATTATTTTTTGGCAGTTTTCAACATTTTTTGTGCATCATTAGAGTTCCAAGTCTTTTTCCACGCATCAAGCACCCAACGGGATATGACCTTATGCAAGTTTTTATCTTGCGCATTTCAAAGATCGTTCATCCACTTATTATATCTTGCACTCTATTATTAAGATACTTTAGGACCTTTTCCTTGTAAGCTAGATCCCACATAATTAATTAATGTACATTCATCTCAGTCGCACACCACCAGTGTGTACCTTCCGGTATGGAGAGCCACTTTCTTTTATGCTCTGATACGTTTGATTTGAAAACAATTTGGGATTTACTTGAAACATCATGCGGCCAGAAGATGTTGTAAGTATTATAATTCAAATTAATACTAAAATACTAATATGAATGCTTACAAAAGGATGGTGGACAAAAACATACTTCATATTTACCTCGATTCTTACTTCCGCACGTGGGTCGTCTTCAGCAGCAGTATCTAGTTAAGAACTTCCAGCATATGTTAGAATACAAAGTTTATATAATCCAAATGCAACTTTAACTATAGCATTCTCATAACATTTACTTACTTGATGTGGTAGTTTGTGGACTCCCGGATGACGTAGTATCTGCAAACATAACCGTGTAATGAATAGTAGTAAATTTAATTTTACATTGCATACGTTAAAAGATATTGATATTGTTATGTCTTTCTTACTTAATCCTTCTCCGACCTGGATCTCAAAACTTGGCTCTTTTTTTCTCCCCCTATGTTTCCGTCTGTCGCAAATAATAATTGTGACATTGCCAGACTGCGGATGTTCTGGTTTTGTTGTGCTTCGTCAGATCCCTGTGACATCTGCAATTGAATGTACCTTATTAGCAATCTTGTTTATGGGCATCAATAGAAACACAATTAACTATCAAATTGAATACATTATATTCACCACTTTAGGTCTTGATTATTATATCATGTAAAATAAAGTAAGGTAAATATAATATTTACACATTCCTTAGTTGTCGCAAGAAATATCAGTGAAACGACATAAACATATCCCTAATTGTTTTTGTCAATAAGAAAATTGAAATTTTTAAATGACAAAAGGATAATTAAAACACATCTAAATATTGTACTTTTGATTTTAGATAAAAAAAAAAAAAGACACATCTTCGATTAGTTATAGATTAGAACATTGCACTAGGAATTTGAAATCATATACAATGATCAAATTGACAATTTTATTTAAAAAAAAGTTGCTAGGTCAACACCATCAAATAAATATGTATAAATATCTATTGGAAAAATAAAATTAAACAACAACGTATATTTTATATATCTGTCTTCAATTTGAAAATTAATAATTTGATGTTTTCATTGTCAATCCAAATTCAACAATCCGACTACACCGTAATTTATTAGCAAAATTGTGAAAATCAAAAGGAAATACTAACAATCTAAGCAATGCGATAGATAATTGAAATGAACAAATAATTATTTTGCTTAAACGATTCTTTCATAATTAGCCAACATGATACATAATCCCCCCAATAACAACACCACACCGGACTCAAATCAACCAAGACTTACAATTCCAAACACCATCGATATCATCACCATAATCCACTATAAACTCAATCAAACAGAGTACAAAAGAAAGTAACTCTTGGAGAGAGGGGATGGGAACCGATGACGCTACCAAGAGAAGGGGAAGATGACACAAGCTCCGGAGAAAATGAAAGAGATTCTGACTAACTTGAATTTAAGTGAGACACCAACACAAGATTGAGATTTTTCAAGGTTGAAAGGCAAAGACGGCGGCAACCGTAGTGTGGCTGGTGGAAGACGAAGCCGGTCGAAGTTGGAGACGGCGGCA